CATCATAACTACTACTACCACCATCATAACTACTACTACCACCATCATTACTACTACTACCACTATCATAACTACTACCACCATCATAACTACTACCACCATCATTACTACTACTACCACCATCATAACTACTACTACCACCATCATAACTACTACCACCATCATAACTACTACTACCACCATCATAACTACTACCACCATCATAACTACTACTAGCACCATCATAACTACTACTACCACCATCACTACTATTAACACCATCATAACTACTGCTCTACTACTATAATACTTCTACTATACTACTACTACTATAATACCTCTACTATTACCACTATACCTCTTACTACAATTAAACTGTAGCAAGAGCCCAACATGTTATTATTAATATTATTATTTATTATTATTATTAAAGAAAAATGGTAAAACAAAACCGTAATCTCCTTCCCGCTCTCGGTGAGACGAGAAAAGTGTACAAAAATTACCTCCAGAATAAGTTGTGTGGACCAGGACCGCTTGACGTGTTCGCCAGTGTCCTCCACTACCCTCTCACCTTTTACCTCGCCTTGGGGCTGTTTGGGTTTATCTTCAACGGATATTTCGTTGATGAGGATATCCAGTGCTTCTCTCAAGGGGGTGGACTTACGGAGGTCAAAGGTTACGATTTACGAGAACAAAACATACTGCAAATATGTATGGCATTCGGGACAATTGACGTTGCCGGAGAGAAGAAATCAACGCTGAATTACAAATGGATTCCCTTCCTCTTCGTGGTCTTAGCCGCCATTAATTATGCCCCTCACATGACCAAAAAAGTCCTCCGACACGAGAGATTGGAGAAGTTTTTAAAAAATGTTCACCATCTCAGCAAGGAGGAAATAAGAGACTATGCCTACGAAAACATCGGCTCACACGCTGGCCAACTCACAGGGGGGTTAAAAATATCCCTTGTGTGCTTGATCTGTGACATAGTTTCTCTTTTCCTCCTTGATATTGCAGCAAACAACACGTTTTTCAATGTTATCGCTCACGGTCCGTACTCACAATACGCGGATGAGTATAACATATACTCCCGTGTCTTCCCGGCCTTCACCAAATGTTCCCTCACCCCTAAGATGGGGATGGCCGTCCTGAACACTGAAAACTACGGTTGTTCCCTGCCCCTTAATTACTACTATGCACACTTATTCATAGTGTTGCTCGTGTTTTTCATGTTCGTCGCCGTCTTTTCAACCTTTTCAGTTGTTGTGAATCTCTTCCGAGTTTTACCCTTTGGCAGACAAAAGTGGGTGTCACTAGGAGGTCACTATCTGGACTGTGAGAAGAAGATCGCCAGCAAATGGAACGGGGACGAACTGTATGTGTTGAACACAATCAAAACAAACATTTAGGGCGATGTTTACGCCTAAATATTGTATGATATAAGGAACCTGAAGGACGACCTGTCTGAGGACGAGCACGATGCAGTGTGAGTCGTATTGTTAAGTTAAATAAAACCAATAAAATTATAAACTGTCTTTTTTATAAAACCTTCATTATCATTTTACACACCAATGTATGTAATATGTAATTTATGTCCAGTGTATGTTTTCAGCCTTCGGGCTGCTAACTTTTTCAATAAACCGTAGGTAGTAGGTAGTAGGCAGCTACCAAACAGGGAGGTACTACCGCCTGGGAAGATATTGGAAGCATAATGTGTTGCCTAATGGTAGACCCTGCTGCCGTATGGCATCACGAATATTGTGACCAAGTCCTAGGTTGCTGACCTGTCTTTCTGCCTCATTTACACACAATTGCAGTCTCAATTGTTTCTCTTACTATTGACAAGACAACATACTGTACATATAGCGTTTCTAACTATTGATTATTATTATTTTTTCTTTATTATCATGATTACAGTGTTGTTATTATTATTATTATTGTTATTATTATTTTATTTTACTTTTTATTATAAATTTTATTTACTATGAATTACTATTATTATTATTAAATTTTTGCCCCCCCCCAGGCCCCGATGTGGGTCAGTGACCTGTGCCCAGGTGGCTAATCCCCTTAAAAAAAAAAAAAAAAAATATATATATATATATATATATATATATATATATATATATATATATATATATATATATATATATATATATATATATATATATATATATATATATATATATATATATTATTATTATTATTATTACATATACACACACTACTACTACAATGATATGAGTTATAAAGGATCTCACCTAGGTTTGTGAGTTTTGAGGTGACTAAAGAGGCCGATACGGGACCGGCAGCGTCGTCCACAATCGTTGGGCATGTGGAGGGCTCCATCTACTGTGGGAGTCCCCTCCCACAGTTGTGGCAGCGTCTTTCCGACGTTGGTGCTATTCTGCCTCGTTATGCAGTCGGGCTAACTCGAAAGTATTGACACCTCGTGTGGTGCTCCTCCAAGCGTTGCGGTGTGGAGTAATCGTCTCCCAGGTGAGGGCGTCAATTTGGCACCTTTTCGGGTTTGTCTTAAGACTGTCCTTATACCTTTTCAGTTGCCCGCCAGCATTACGTTTATTATTCGTTAGGTGACTGTAAAGTAGCTGCTTTGACAGTCTACTGTCATCCATGCTGGTAACATGGCCAGTCCAGCGTAGTTGTTCATGGATAATGGTAGCCTCGATGCTCACACACACACACACACACACACACACACACACACACACACACACACATTAAAAGAAATATATAGCATTAATATGTAATTCATGTGTTGAGGACTCATGAGTTGTGGTCACTAGAAAGTTTGAGGGAAAACACGAGACAGGAAAGAGTTTTGTGTCCAAGAGATAAGAGAGATTCACCATACATACATACCTACACGACGGAAATATACATACATACATACATGAAGGAAATATACATACATACATACATACATGCGCACGTACCATGTCACAAAAGCTTTCCGGCTTCCGTTGGTGGAAAAAAAAATCACACCTTATATATGAAATGAAAATGGCGGCTGCTTAAAAACAAAACCAAAAGGTCCAATAACAACTGGGATGGTCGGAATATTTACCCCAGTATTTTATAACGTGGGATATATTTACAGTATTGGTCAATTTAGGTTAGGTTAAATGTGGTATGGTTTAAGTTAGGTTAGGTGAGGTTTAGGTTAAGTTAGGTTAGGTAGTGTGTCACTGTGTTTCGCTCTCTAACCATTGGTTTTAAGTCTTTCTGCCTCCTTAATAAGGTTTGTCATGAGCGAAGATATGCGAGATAAGTCCCTGAAACTATCGCTCGTTAAACTAGTAGTTATATAGTGTGTGTGTGTGTTTAGCGCCAAGTGAATCTTGAGAGAGAGATTTTCAGTTGGTTGGTGTGACCCCCGCCTCAGGCATGACCCCGTCGCTCATTGGCCAACAGCTGGCTCCCGGTTGTGACGTCATAGGGGTCATTGGGGGTTATGTGGAGGCCAGCTGTTGTTGTTGTTGTTGTTGTTGTTCATGTTGTGTTTGTTGGTGGTGGTGGTAATGACGTTTTCCTGGTGACAGCGGGTTGGTAGGTTAATGGTGGTGATGGTGACCGTGGTGATTAATGTGTTGGTGCTGTAATGATGGTGATAGTGGTGGTGTTTCTGATAGTGGTGATGGTGTTTTCATGGTGAAAGTGGGTTGATAGGTTATTATCAGTGATGACGGTGGTAAGATGGTAATGACAGAGATATAGATAGTACCTCTGTCTACTTCACCAACTTGGTACTCATGGTGTAATAATGACCATTAACTACCCACACTGGTGCGTCATCCTGGACAACAACAACAAACTAGTGAAGATGTAACGATCATACAGGTGTGAGTATAGTAACAAATATAACATCATTTTATACCTTTGTTTAATACCTGATCTATATAATACCAGGAAGGATAATATAAACAAATATAACATCTATTTATATATTAGATTTATTACCTGATATATGATACGATAAAAGGAACTCAAGTCATTTTTCACGTATTGAGATAATTATAGACAGGGTTTTAACACGTGCGCACTGATCCCAAAGCATTGTTTTTGAGGTGAAACTTCGAGGCAGCCATGACCTTAGATACTTTCTTGTATAGTTTAGAAAGTCTATGTGTTTAGTTTATATCGTATACGTGAAATAGTAATAAAATGTTATTATATTATACTATGTCTCAGTTATTGCGAGGTGTTGTATTACAGGATGCAGCGTGGACCTGTTTTAACTTTTTGGGTGAAATTGTTGTGATTTTTCGTATTGATTTTGACATGAACGAGGGAAGGAAGGAAGGAAGGCAAGAGGGAAGGAACCACTTTAGGGAACAGTTATTACTTGTGGTTATCCAATGTTTACATCCTCGAGAAGCCTCTCCGCCAGACTAGGACCTATCAGGGAAGCCGCCATTGTTTACGCAGGAGGAGGTACTAATAGGGAAGCCGCCTTTGTTTACGCCCGCCAAGAGACAAACAACCGAAGGCTATTCTCGCCCAAGAGGGAAGGAAGGAAGGAAGAAAGGCAAGAGGGAAGGAAGGAAGGAAGAAAGGCAAGAGGGAAGGAAGAAAGGCAAGAGGGAAGGAAGGAAGGAAGGAAGAAAGGCAAGAGGGAAGGAAGGAAGGAAGAAAGGCAAGAGGGAAGGAAGAAAGGCAAGAGGGAAGGAAGGAAGGAAGGAAGAAAGGCAAGAGGGAAGGAAGGAAGGAAGAAAGGCAAGAGGGAAGGCAAGAGGGAAGGAAGGAAGGAAGTTGGTATTCCTCCATCCTGGTCTTAATATTCGGGAGGTGAGGGAATAAGTTTTCTTCTGTAGAGGTTAGTCGTTAGGTGGCTCCTTGCCGTGAGTGTGACATCTAAAGTATTACCCGAAGTGGACGATGATGAGTACCTCTACAACTTAACCTAACCTAACCCGTGTTGCATCTTCTCTAGGGGCGTCATATCTTACTAGAGGTGTGGTGTGTGTCTGTCTGTCTGTTAAGGAGTAATAATATGGTTGCCTGTCGGGGCCAACAAGATCTTATAAGGAGTGTGGATTATTGCCGAGGGGAAAAATATAGTTAAGATTGCCGCCAAGAGGAAATACCTGTGTGTGTGTTTTTGTAAGTGTGTGTGTTTGTGTGTGTAAGTGTAAGTGTGTGGGGTGTCAGACACTCAGGATTGCCACCATGACACACTCATCCCTCCTCTCCTTGTCTCCACCCCGTCCGTCCTTGTTGCTAACTGTCGGGTCGAGGCCAGGGTGGGGGTGGGGGGAGGGGGGTGTTGGATGTGTGGGTAAGTGGGTTTGCCGTGTAAGTGTGGCATATGGATATGTGGATGTGGTTGTATACATGTCTGGTGTGTGGATGAGCGACTTGGTTGATTATGTGAGTAGGTATGTTTGTGTGGTTGAGTGATTTGGGTGGAAAGATGGATGGTGTGTGTGTGTGTGTGTGTGTGTGTGTGTGTGTGTGGTGTAAAAGTCTCCAATGAGTGTTGAAACGCAGACACACACATGAGCCGCTGTTACTAACTGTATGTTTATCATGAGTTTTGTGTGTGTGTGTGTGTGTAAACGTCTCCAGAGGTTGTTTACGCACACACACGAATGGCTGTTACTAACTGTACATCATGAGGGTGTGTCATCTATCGTACACACACACTGACTAACGGGTGTTTATTGTATGTCTGCGTCATTTGTGTTGTGTGATTCTTGTGTTTATATATGTATGTATGTTCTTATGTGTGTCCTTGTGTGTATGTGTATCTGGGAGGTTGCTGTCGACACACACACACACACACACACACAGATAGGAGCAGAGGTTGTTACTAACTGTACTTGACATGGTTGAGGGAGTGTTGCGCTTTGCATGTTGGTATACATAGACGTGTGTGTGTGCGTGTGTGTGTGTGTGTGTGTGTGTGTGTGTGTGTGTGTGTGTGTGTGTGTGTGTGTGTGTGTGTGTGTGTGTGTGTCTGGCTTACTCCTCATTTATATTCCCTTTGCAATTTCTCCTCTCCTCTCTATTCATCCTCCCTCCTCTTCTCTCTCCTCTCTCCTCTTCCCCCCCTCTCTTCTTCCTCTAACCCTCACTGCCTCCTCCTCTCCCTCCAGGTAAGTTCAGGTAGAGAAAACCGTTACTGACCCACTCTCTCTCTCTCTCTCTGGGACTGTGGTGGTACGTACTCGGGATGTGTTGCATAGAGTAGATACTATAGGGGAAGGAGCGGTACTTGGAAGGGGTAGGTACTAGGGAGGGTACAGGTACTAGAGGGAGGGGTAGGTACTAGATGGAGGGTAGGCTAGAGGGAGGGGTACTAGAGGGGGGTACTGGAGGGGTACAGGAACCAGGTACAGGTACTAGAGGAGGGTACAGGTACCAGAGGGAGGGTAGGTTCTAGCGG